AATAGTATTTATTAATGATATCCTGATATATTCTCGTAACCAAGGAGAAATCGAGGATCATCTCAGGAATATGTTGCAGACATTGCGAGAACATCGGCTTTATGCTAAGTTCTCAAAGTGTGAATTTTTACTAGACTCGGTAGCATTTCTGGGGTGTGAGAAAGCACGAGAGAAAATATATCATTGACTAATATTGACAATGATACAATAAGCCCTATATATACAATACATGTCCTACTCCTAATACATATGGGATTAGGGTTATTTACTACTATTTAGACAATGAAACTAACACTCCCCCTCAAGCTGGTGCATATAAATCATATGTACCGAGCTTGTTACATATATAACTAATACGAGGACAAGTGAGGGACTTGGTGAAAATATCAGCAAGCTGATCATTCGCTTTACAAATTTTGTAGCAATATCTCCCGAGAGTATCTTTTCTCTAACAAAGTGACAGTCAATCTCGATGTGTTTAGTTCTCTCATGGAACACTGGATTTGATGCAATATGAAGAGTAGCTTGATTATCCCACACAAGTCCCATCTGACTAGTTACCAAATTTCAACTCCTTGAGCAACTGTTTGATCCAAATTAGCTCACATGTGGCCATAGCCATTGCTCGATATTCTGCTTCTGCACTAGACCGAGCAACCACATTCTGTTTCTTGCTCTTCCAAGACACCAAAATATCCTCCTACTAAGACACAATATCCAGACGTAGAACGTCTATCAGAAGGTGATCCTGCCCAATCAGCATCTGAGTATCCAACGATCTGCTCATGGCCTCGATCTTCAAACAATAAGCCTTTGCCTGGAGCTGATTTTATATACCGAAGAATGCAGACAACTGCATCCCAATGACTATCATAGGGAGAATCCATAAACTGACTCACAACACTCACAGGAAAGGAAATGTCAGGTCTAGTCACTGTGAGGTAATTTAATTTACCAACCAACCGCCTATATCTTGCAGGATCGCTAAAAGGCTTCCCCTGTCCTGGCAGAAGTTTAGAATTCGGATCCATCGGAGTGTCAACAGGTCTACAACCTGTCATTCCTGTCTCCTCAAGAATATCTAAGGCATACTTCCGTTGTGAGATCACAATACTTGAGCTAGACTGAGCACCTCAATACCCAGAAAATACTTTAATCTGCCCAGATCCTTAGTCTGAAAGTGCTGAAAGAGATGTTGCTTCAACTTACTAATACCATCATGATCATTGCCGGTAATAACAATATCGTCAACATAAACGACCAGATAAATACAGAGATTTGAAGCAGAATGTCGATAAAATACAGAGTGATCAGCTTCACTACGAGTTCCAAGCTCCTGAATAACTATGCTGAACTTACCAAACCAGGCTCGAGGAGACTGCTTTAGACCATAGAGGGACAGGCGCAACCGACATACAAGGCCACTAGACTCCCCTTGAGCAACAAAACTAGGTGTTTGCTCCATATAAACCTCATCTTTAAGGTCACCGTGAAGAAAAGCATTCTTAATGTCCAACTGATAGAGAGGCCAATGGCGAACATCAGCCATGGATAGAAAAAGGCGGACTGATGCAATTTTAGCCACGGGAGAGAAAGTATCACTGTAATCGAGTCCATATCTGAGTATATCCTTTGGTAACAAGACGAGCCTTAAGTCGATCAACCTGGCCATCTGGACCAACTTTGACTGCATACACCCAACGACAACCAACAGTTGATTTACCCGAAGGAAGAGGAACAAGCTCCCAAGTACCACTCGTATGTAAAGCAGACATCTCGTTAATCATTGCCTGTCGCCATCCGGGATGAGACAGTGCTTCACCTGTAGACTTAGGGATGGAAATAGAGGACAAAGATGACACAAATGCTCAATGGGATGATGAGAGACGGTGGTAACTTAAACCAATATAATGAGGATTAGGATTAACTGTGGATCGTATACCTTTTCGTAGTTCAATCGGTTGATTAAGAGGAGACAAGTCCGCAGTATTAGCAAGTTCAGGTGCAGGACGTGAATCAGCTGGGCCTGATGCTGGGGGCGGACGACGATGATAAGTCAGGAGTGGTGGAGCTGTAGAAGGTTGAACTGGACTAGGTGGTGGCACTGGAGCTATAGTTGGTGGAACTGGACTAGGTGGTGGCACTGGAGCTATAGTTGGTGGAATTGGACTAGGTGGTGGCACTTGACTCAGTGGTGACACTGGAGCTATAGGTGGTGGAGCTGTAATTGGAACGGTAGGCGGTGGAGCTATGGAGGAAGATGAATAGGATATAGGGACTAAATCTCCAAAAGAAGGAATAGGTAGCACCTCAGAAATATCTAAGTGATTAACTAGACCTGTGAAGTATGATTGGGTTTCAAAGAAGGTAACATCAGCAGACATAAGAAATCGCTGAAGGTCAGGAGAATAACATCGAGATCCCTTTTGCGTTCTCGAGTAACCCAGAAATATGCACTTAAGAGCACGAGGAGCTAACTTATCTTTTCCTGAAGTAAGGTCGTGAACAAAGCACGTACTCCCAAAGACACGGGGTGGAAGAGAGAACAAAGGTAAGTGGGGAAACAGGACAGAGAATGGAACTTGATTTTGGATAGCTGAAGATGGCATACGATTAATAAGATAACAAGATGTAAGAACTGCATCCCCCCAAAAACGCAGCGGAACATGAGATTGTATGAGTAAGGTACGAGCAGTTTCAATAAGATGTCTATTCTTTCTTTCAGCTACCCCATTTTGTTGGGATGTGTACGGACAAGATGTTTGATGAATAATCCCATGGGAGCTCATAAACTGCTAAAATGGGGAAGATAAATACTCTAGGGCATTATCACTATGAAATGTGCGGATAGAAACCCCAAATTGATTTTGAATTTCAGCATGGAAGGTCTGGAAAATAGAAAACAACTCAGATCGATTTTTCATCAAAAATATCCAAGTGCACCTGGAATAATCATCAATGAAACTGACAAAGTAGCGGAATCCTAAGGTAGAACTAACCCGACTAGGACCCCAAACATCTGAATGGACTAAAGTAAAAGGTGACTCTGCTCGATTGTCAAGACGCCGCGGGAAATGGGAGCGGGTATGCTTACCGAACTGACACGACTCACACTCTAGAGTGGACAAGTGAGATAAGCCAGGTACCATTTTCTGAAGTTTTGACAAACTGGGATGTCCTAACCGTTTATGTAATAAATCTGGTGAATCAGTAATGGGAGAAGTTATTGGAGGAAGACAAGATGCGAGTCCATGTGATTTTGCAAGGATAAGGTAATAAAGTCCATCTGATTCACGTCCGGTACCAATGATCCGCCCTGTACTGCGTTCCTATATAAAAACAAGGTCATCAAGAAATAAAACAGCAGATTTAAGTGATTTGGCTAAGCGACTAACGGCTATGAGATTAAAAGGACTGCCAGGAACATAAAGAACTGAGTCTAAAGGTAAGGAAGGAAGTGGACTTGCTTGACCTATTGCAGTTGCCATGGCTTGAGACCCATTGGCCATTGTGACTGTTGGAAGAGATTGAGAATATGAGATACTAGTGAAAAGAGATTTATTACCAGAAATATGATCAGATGCACCTGAATCAATGACCTAAGACTCAGAAGGTGAAGATTGGGAGACACCAGTCATGCTACTATTTGTTGGAACAACGGAGGTTAATCCTGAAGATGTCTGTTTACGTGCTTTGTACTGAAGGAACTCAATATAATCCGGTAAAGAAACCATGTGGATTGGATTCATTGCATTTAATCTAACAGATTGTGAGTTAAAGGCTTCAGGTACGAATTCCATTATAATATCGTGCCGAAAAAAGCAGAAAATTGTTGGGATCACTGTTCACGCCGGAAAAATCACTGTAGCTCGCCGGAATAAACTCAAAGTGGTCGGAATTTGATTTGAACTAGATGGGTAGGCTCGGAATTATGAGGAGAGCAAGCTGTCCTGAAGGAATTTCGCAAAAAAGTGGCCGGAAATAGTGTCACGCGCCGGCGCGTGGGCGTCGGAGCTTCGCCGGAAAATTTTATGGGTTGGTTGCCGGAGGCCGATCTACTTCGTGGTGGTGTTAGTTTTTTCACAAAACTGACAAAAAGTGGTTTTTTTGTTACGGACAGCCTCTTAAGTCGCCGGAAAATTGCACGGCAACGAGGTCTTTCTTCCCGGAGGCCGCTGGAATAATGCACAGCGATAATTTCTCATTGATGCTCTGATACCATGTGAGAAAGCACGGGAGAAAATATATTATTGACTAATATTGACAATGATACAATGAGCCTTATATATACAACACATGTCCTACTCCCAATACATATGGGATTAGGGTTATTTACTACTATTTAGACAATGAAACTAACATGGGGCATTTTGTATCTAAAGATGGAATTATGGTAGATCCTAAGAAGACCGAAGCTGTGCAGAAATGGCCCAGACCTACTTCTCCTACAGAGATTCGTAGCTTTTTAGGCTTAGCAGGCTATTACATGCGTTTTGTGCAGGATTTCTCCAGAATAGCAGTGCCGCTGACCAAGCTAACACAGAAAAACAAAGTTTCAGTGGACGGAGGAATGTGAGTAGAGCTTTCAGAAACTCAAAGCGTGTCTGACAACTGCACCAATTATAGCCTTACCATCAGGTTCTGGAGGATTTACAGTATTCTGTGACGCCTCGAGGGTGGGATTAGGATGTGTTCTCATACAAAATGGTCGCGTTAGAACTTATCCTTTGAGACAATTGAAAAAACACGAGCAAAACTATCCTACACATGATTTGGAGATGGCTGCAGTGGTATTTGCTCTAAAAATTTGGAGGCATTACCTATATGGCGAAACTTGTGAGATTTTATACTGACCATAAAAGTCTGAAGTATATCTTTCAGAAGAGAGATCTGAATCTTCGGCAGCGTCAGTGGACGGAACTACTCAAAGACTATGATTGTTCTATTTTGTATCATCCTGGAAAAGCCAATGTGGTGGCTGATGCATTGAGAAGAAATCTATGGGGAGTTTGGCACATATAGCTCCTGCAAAAAGACTTTTGGCCAAAGATATTCAGAGACTAGAAGATACAGGTATCAGATTTGGTGTTGGAAATCCAGAGGCATTGTTGGCGTGTGCTCAGGCTAAGTCTTCATTAGTTGAGCGCATTAAGGCCACCCAATATGAGTGGGAAGGTATGAAAGAAGATGTTGCTAACTTTTTTTCTAGTTGTTTGACTTGTCAGCAGGTCAAGGCTGAGCATCAGCGACCAGCAAGACTACTACAACAAATTGAGATTCCGGGGTGGAAATGGGAAAGAATTACTATGGATTTTGTCACCGGGCTACCACAAACCCTTAGAGGTTATGACTCTGTATGGGTGATTGTAGATCGCTTGAAGAAATCGACACACTTTTTGCCAGTGAAGACTACATATGGTGGAGTGAGGTATGCACAGATATTTATTAACGAAATTGTCCGACTTCACGAAGTTCTAGTATCCATCATCTTTGATAGAGGATCATAATTCACTTCACGCTTTTGGAAATCTTTTCAAGAAGCGTTGGGTACACGAGGAGATCTTAGTACTGCATTTCACCCACAGACAGACGGGCAGTCTGAACGTACTATACAGATCTTGGAAGATATGTTGAGAGCTTGCATTCTTGAGTTTGGAGGTAGTTGGGATGCGTATCTACCTTTAGCTAAATTTGCTAACAACAATAGCTTCCAGTCCAGTATTCAAATGGCACCGTATGAAGCACTGTATTGTAGAAAATGTCGTTCTCCTACCGGATGGTTTGACGCTGGTGAGACTAACTTATTGGGACCCGACCTAGTACAAAAATCTATAGACAAGGTTCAGTTGATCAGACAGATATTGGTTACAGTTCAAAGTAGACAAAAGTCTTATGCTGATAAGAGAAGAAGATATTTAGTATTCACAATTGGGGACAAAGTGTTCCTCGGAGTCTCCCCTATGAAAGGTGTGATGCAGTTTGGGAAATGAGGTAAGTTGAGCCCCAGGTTTATAGGACCGCATGAGATACTAGATCGGGTGGGAGCTATGGCTTATCGTTTGGCACTTCCTCCTGAGTTGTCCTTTATTCATCCAGTGTTTCATGTCTCAATTATAAGAAAATGTATATCAGACTCATCTCAGGTTCTTGAAGCACCGACTATACCGATCGATGAGAAGTTGTCTTACGTGGAGGAGCCGATGGCTATTGTTGATAGACAAGTAAGAAAACTACGGTCAAGAGAAATACTGTTTGTCAAAGTCTTATGGAGAAATCATACAGTTGAAGAAGCTACTTTGGAAGTGGAAGATGTTATGCGGGTCAAGTATCCTCACTTATTTTAGTCTACAGGTACGTACTTGAGTTAAATTCGGGGACCGAATTTCATAAGGTCGGGAGGATGTAGGGCCCCAATATTTTAAATAAGGACATATTGGACACTTAGCAAATAAAATATAAAACAAAAAAAAGGATGGAAAATAAAAGAGCCGAAGCCCATTAAAAAGTAATTAACCTGCCAAGGTTAAGGGTTTAGAAAGCAAAGAAGCTTTGGCTTCTGAAGGAAACGAGAAAAAGAAAAAAAACAAAAGAAGAGAAAGAAAGAAAGAGAAAAAAGGGAAACGAAAAAGAAAAAGCTTTGGTCAAAGGCTTTAAGAAGAATTGGGAGTTAAAAATGAAAGTATTAAAGTTCTCCTTCGACTCAAGAGGTTAACCTTCTTTTTCTCATCTGTTGAGTTATTTCACTACATCTATGCAATTTCATGTAGTACATAAGAATTCAATATCAACTTTCTTTTGTATAAAAAAATATATAATTACTATGGATAATAAGGCTATAAAGGTTTGGTTTTAAGCATTGATAGGTCTAACTTTAGAGGAATAAATTATACTAAATAGTTTAAATTGATAGAATTATGAACTAGTTCTATGATTAAATATAAATCCACAAATTAAGACTCAAACCTAAACCCCGATGGTTGGGTATTTAAATTAGCTATGAATTAGCCTAAACAAGGTAGTTAACATAAGATCTATATTATGTAATTATAGATTGATTGGAGGAAGTTGTACAAATTGCTCGAGGTGAAGCATTTGGTATCTCGGCACGAGTACTGTGAGTAGTAATCTTACCGCTTGTTTTCATAACTTGCATGATTTGCACATGATTTTTAATACGAATATGTTACCGATTATTTTGAGTTTCATGTGGGACAAGTCTTTTACTTGATATGATACCGAAATAGTTATTTGAGATGATTATCATTGTTTTAAATATTTCCGTTGTCAGTAGATCTATTTTACCGTTACTTGAATTTACTGTTATCGAAATGAAATTATATGATTTGATAAGAACCGAAATGCCCTATATTATTTTCAAATATTTTCTACGAGTATATACGGATTACAGAGAGAAGTATAAATGTGAGTGGACATTGAAGGATCACGTAGCTGATGGCGGGTTCGTTAGACCTGGTGCACCTTATAATTACCGATTACCGTTACAGCCCTCGCTAGTGGGAAGGTAGAACTAGCATATTGTTACTGATTTCCCTCGAGTAGGGACTACCATTATATTTGACTTCTTGCGAAGAAGTCCACACTTATATTGATTACATGATCCGTACATTGAAACCTCCCAAATGTGAATATTGATATTATACAGTGGTTACCGAGTTTATTACCGAATTTTTAATTATATTATACTAAAAGAAAAACATGATGAGACTAAAAATTATTTATTGTTTCTGAAAGGGCATTTTAAGATATTTTCTGTTTAATATACTAGCATATTTCTGATTTGTCCCCAATATAAACGATTGTGGTTGAGTGTTATTACTCACTGAGCTAGCGACTCATTTCCCGCTAATTTTTTTTTATAGAGACAGCAGTTAACGCGGGCGAGAATTTCGTTAATTAGAGCACACAGGTTGATAGTTTCTTGGTGAGCCTCGCACTTGTTCGCGTGGGCGGAGATTTTATTTATTGTTATGGTCGTTCTTTGAACTTTTAGAGTCGCTCTAGAGTCATCATTTTGGTGTCATGAGTATTACTTTGTTATTATAGTCTTATGTTGAGTATCGTTCTTTATTATCAACGTTGGTGATAATTAGTGTTTTTAGTTGTTAGTGGGTTGATTAGCAATGTGAAGACTTGTTTTGGTTAATTGATAAGTTGTCGAGTTGTTGGTTTGATATTAGGATGGTTTGTTGTTGATTTTGAGACAGGAAAAATTTTTGGATAGTCCAAAAACGTGGGAAACTCTGTCCGGTTTTCTGTAAAATACCGATTAGGCTTACTTGGGGGCACTTGCTCCTGAGCGCCGATCAAGATCCTAATTTTTCTCGTGATACTAATTCATCCTTGCTAATATTTAGCGAGGATAAGAGATTATTACTCACTAGATTTAGCAAGACTAGGGGTGTGTTTAGTATGAAAAATATTTTCTTGGAAAATGAGTGGTATCACTTATTTTTCCATGTTTAGTTGGTAAGTGAAAAATATTTTTTGAATAATATATTACTATTTGAATAGTGAGCAGAAAATATTTTTTCTGAAAAATATATATTTCAAGAAAACACTATGAAAAACCAAATGGGTAAGAGGCGAGGGGACAGGGGTGGAGGGTTGGGGGTGTGAGGTAAAGGTGGGGTGTGGTGGGTGGGGGTAGGGGTGGTTATTAGGGGATGGTGTGGTAGGGGTGGGAGTGGAGTGGTTGGGTTTGGTGGGGGTGGGGAAAAGTTGAAAAAGAGTCCATGAGAAAAATATTCTCCAAAACATTTAAGCCAATCAAATATGAGAAAATTAAAAAAATATTTTTTGCCATACCAAACACACCCTAGAATCCCTTGCTAAAATTGAAGAATTTCCCCCTAGTTTTGCTCTTGAAAACTAGGTTTGTTCATGGCGTTGCAAATGTTTAGGAGGGAATAGGTAGGTTTCTCGCAACAAATTTTTAATCTAGATACGGGAAAGGAGTAGTTAGGAATAGTCCACGCTAATTCAGCCAAATCATATTGATTGATTTTATTTCACAATACACATTTCATTATAACAATTTTTGTGCAAACACAGATTTATTCCCAAAACGAACGTAAGATATTGTTACATCACATAAGATTTATAAATATTATTATAAAATATTACAAGTGTTTCATGATTTCACATCACATAAGATTCAAAATAAAGCATTGAAAGTTTTGAAAATCCACAAAAGTTTAATACATGTCTGATAGTACGCTATAATTACGCAGTTTAGATACTATTTACACTATAATTTAGCCGCAACTTTATCAATGTTTGAATGATAAAAGACAACAAAATGCTCTAATTAAGAGTTTCATGCTTTGCAGGAGCCACTCCGAGCTAGGAGGAAGCTAAAGAATATTTTGGAGTCAATATGGAGCGTGAAAAGCCAAACGGAGGTTAGCACTGTCGAAAAGGAGAAAGAAAAGCAAGTGGCAAAGTCCCCTCTAAGTGCGCGGCCGCTGATTGACCGCGAATCGGTTGCGCACTGAGGCAGAACACGGGGCGAAATTCGCGGTTGAATCCACGGTCAGATCTGCGGCCACGGACGAGCTGACGGAAGCCAATAACCCAGGGGCAATTATGTAATTTCTAAGGCGACTAACCTAAACCTATATGAAGCTTAATTCTCCCAGAAGAGAAGTATAGTTGTTTTTAGAGAGATTTTTGAGGCAATAACACGGGAGGAAGACAGAGAATTTCCTTAAGAGTTTTCATCTTCTTCTTCTTCTTAATTCCATTGTTGATTATGACTTTCTATAGTGAATTTTTATCTATTAGTATGAGTAGCTAAACCCATCAACTAGGGTTGATGGAACCAATTGTTGGATGAAGTCTTGACTCTGTTTTGATAAAATTGAGCCATTTTTACTCTATGATTGTTCAACTACGTGCTGTCTTTTGATTAATTAAAAGGGCCATTGATCAATCATGTCTAGTTATCTTGTGTTGCTTGAGAAAGAATAGTTGGTTAGATTGTTGTTGAACAACACCACTTTCGGGTAAGTTAAGAGATTAATTACTTGAATTTGAAAGCAGGGTTGGAGATAACGAAGCTTTGGTGGGATAATTCTGAGTTGCATAAATTGTTAACTAGAGTAGTTTGAGAGAATGCTTCTAGTAACTTATTGTAATTGATCGAGAGATAATTGTGGTAGCCCAAAACTCACACTCCTTATAGAGTGTTACAGCGAGATTATAGTTAACATGTGAGGAATTAATTCAACAATTGGGAAAATCAATAACCCTAGACCATTTTACCATTGAATTCAACTCTATTCTTGAGTATTGCTAGTTTTATTGTAATTTTTCCTCAGTTAACTAAATTCTACTCATTATCCATTAAAAATCTTACATTCTGGAATTGTCTGAGCTTATCATTAGCAGTGTTAAAAGTTGTAGTAAATAGGTTAGTTCCCTGTGGGTTCGACTCTGGACTTGAACAGGATTATATTTGCAGCGACAGCTTAGTTCTTTTGACAAGGCATAGTTGGGCGTGATCAAATTTTGGTGTCGTTGCCGGGGAACTAACGGTGTTATTTATTGCAACTTGAAAGAATTGCTAGGATTTTTAGTCTAGATCAAATTTCCGTGGTGTTAAAAATATTTCTGTTGAAATTCTCAGGTCTGAACTCTTCTGTGACTCAGGTGCATGCCTAGAAGCTATTTGAGAACTGGAGAACTTTTCGAAGGACTCTTAGATCCCGAAAAAGCATTCAGGGCATTGAATCGGGCTAGCAAGAAGGGAAACAACTAAAACAAAATGACCAACTCGAAATTGAAATGGACGATGCCGAGAACATCAATGGGAACAATAGGAATGATCGAGTTGACCCAAAATCAGAGTGGTAGCACCTCTTGTGCCGAAAGCTGCCCTTTATGATTGGGCGCAACCAACTACTGATAACCTGGCCACAACAATTGCAGTTCCTCAGATATAAGCGGAGACATTCCGGATTACCAACAA